AATTGGATTACTTTTAATTGGTTCCAATAATTTTTCTTTAATTATTGGTCAGTGCAGATTACTATAGTCATACCGGACAAAATTTGAGGCACTGCAAGTCTGATCAAGATCCACTTGCATATTTTGCAGTGTCACAGCTTTTTGCAATGCTTCAGTTCAGACTTCAGACACATAGACACGTGACAATCATAACCGAAATTTTTTGGAACCAATTAAGATGATGTCCCGAGCCGTGGCCAATCACCACCTGAAGCATCTGCTAATTTCTGCTGCATCATTATAGCTCCATGGACTGAATGCAATCAATTATCATAATTCTGAAAAATGAATGAAGAACTTGGAGAAGAAATTTTTGCTTCATGAATAGTGTCTGACAAAAGATATATGACTTAAATACAAGAAAATGCATTGCCAACTTTTTTTTCCGCTCTTTATCTAAAAGGGTTTCTATTGGATTTAGTCTGCGCTTGGTGGATTATAAGCCAAGCCCATTTTGTTCTCGGAGTATATTTGTATATAGATGAGAGTTGTGTGGCCTTCAGGCCTAATTTATTCCTTTTGGAATTGAAGGAAACATTTTTTTTTTTGGGAAAATTAATCAGTGATTCTTGTTATTTTAATTTAGTTGTAACTAAGTTCTTGAACTTTGATTCTTTGTAATTCAGTTCTTATAATTTTAATTTAATTATAATTTAATTTGTGAACTTTGATTCTTGTAATTCAATCCCTATAGTTTTAATCATTTAAAATATTGGTCCCTATATTTTTTTAAAAAGATGATTAATCTTATCTTTACAAAGATTAAAATTATTTTAATTTTATCTTTATAAAGATTAAAATTTTTAGTAATTAAAATATTATTCCTAAATTTTAACATAATTTTAATTTTTATAATTTTATTTTTAAATGAAAAAAATACAACTTTGAGTCCTACACTTTACTTACATTTTGCTATTAATCATTGTACTTTTTTTTTCGATGTTTTAGATCTCTACACTTTTTTTTTTATTGCTTTAAGTCCCTCCATGAGCAAATTGTAGGGATCTTGGAAGGACCTAAAATAATGAAAAATAGAAGTATAAAGACTTAAAATATAAAAAAAGTATAGGGACTAATAACAAAAAACAAGCAAAGTGCAGGGATTCAAAATTATGTTTTTCCTTTTAAAATATAAAGATTATTATTTTAAATGGTTAAAAATATAGGAACTAGGTTACATCGAGTCAAAATTCAGGGATTAAACTATAACCAAGTCCAATCTATAATGACAGAATTATAATGAATTAAAATTCAAAAACTAAATTACAACTAAGTCAAAATTATAAAGATCAAATAATTAATTTTTTTCCCCCAAATCTCATGCATGATGAAAACAATGTGCGTGTGATAGTCAGTTCCATTTTAAGAAAAAAAGAAGAAACAAACCATCTCTCTCTCAAGTTCTATTTCTTTTCTCAGTTTTCGCTAAATTTGCTGTGTAACCATAGGATCTAAATGTGATTTTTCTATCTGCTTGGGTTGTGCTCAGAGACTGAAGTGGGGGGAGGGGGGTAAGATATTCTGATCTTTCAAATCCATCGATCCTAGTAATTGATAGAAAGACATAATACCTTTTAATGATAACATGAATTCGATCCTCTCAAAATTACTCTAAGAAAAATAAATTTGAAAGTAAAAGTAGAGAAGCATGTTTATAAAAGCATGTTTGATAACATGTTGTCTTCCATCAAAACATAGTTTTGGCTAGCACAAGCGTGATATCAAACATGTTGTAAGGTCCTATTTGAATCAATTTTGAGTCCAAAATTATGGTTTTGAAAAATCTTATCCCAACATATTCAATTTTCTCAAACTCCATTTGCTTTCTAAAGCTTCATTTAGAATACAATTTTTTTTTTTTTCATTTGAGCATCAATTCTTAACATTTGAACATCTTCCATTTCCCTCTATCTATATAATTGATTCTGAAAAATTATCCAAATATGTTCAATTATCAAAATTAATTTAAGAAAATATTAACTAAATATTATCACCACATGGATTATGTATAATGAAATGACATTCTGTTATTAATGTATAGATCTTTTCATATTATATACAAAAATTTTATTATTCATATATTTGAGATGATAGAAAGACATAATACCTTTTAATGATAACATGAATTCGATCCTCTCAAAATTACTCTAAGAAAAATAAATTTGAAAGTAAAAGTAGAGAAGCATGTTTATAAAAGCATGTTTGATAACATGTTGTCTTCCATCAAAACATAGTTCTGGCTAGCACAAGCGTGACATCAAACATGTTGTAAGGTCTTGTTTGAATCAATTTTGAGTTTAAAATTATGGTTTTGAAAAATCTTATCCCAACATATTCAATTTTCTCAAACTCCATTTGCTTTCTAAAGCTTCATTTAGAATGCGATTTTTTTTTTCTTTTCATTTGAGCATCAATTCTTAACATTTGAACATCTTCCATTTCTCTCTATCTATATAATTGATTCTGAAAAATTATCCAAATATGTTCAATTATCAAAATTAATTTAAGAAAATATTAACTAAATATTATCACCACATAAAATGACATTCTGATGTTAATGTATAGACCTTTTCATATTATATACAGAAATTTTATTATTCATATATTTGAGAAACTTGTATATTTTAAATGAGGGGCAAATGGGTCTTTCTACCTGAAAACACATTTACACATAAGGTCTTTGGGCCTGTAGAATAAGTTCAAAATGTATTGACCTTTGGATACTAATTTCTTTAATTTGGGGGCTTTAGGTGCCATTCTCCCTTACTTTTATACTAATTGGCTCGTGGGACATGCCCTTCATGATAAGTTTCCAGTCACAAATTTCCATGATACACCTTTACAGTGTGGGGCTCATTTTCTTTCGAAATTAATATAATTTCTTTTTCATTTGCAAAAAAAAAAAAAAATTAGCGGGGAACTCAAGTCTTCTTTCATGCATAAGACTTGATTATCATTTGGACTATGAAGAGGACACTTACAATTCTTTTTTTCCCAAAAAGGAAGTCATGTTTAAGACCGACGATATTTCGCAATCATTAGGGTGAAGATTGCAAATGGAATTTAGACGTATGCAATGAATGACATGAATGATGCGACAAGGTGAGGTGTAAGAAGGATCAAAATTTCAATTTGTTCATCGAGTGAAAGCCACACTAAGATTGCATTCTATAGTGGAAGACTTGATTGGTCATATCACTTGAAGATAGAAGGCTTTAATTTTAGCATCTGCGTGTTGGGATATGAGTTTGTGAATGACTAAATATTCTTAGATATAATGATGAAGCTGTCGCATCAAGATCTTATCTATTCAAATATACATGTGCAATATGATCCAGCAATGTGTAAGGACTAAAACTTCAAAGATAAAGTGAAACTAATAGTTCTTTCATTTGAAAATTGCTCATATTCTACCAGTATTGAAGTTAAATTCCTCAATGTGTAAGAGAGTACAAAGGAGGATATACAATAAGTTAAGATGTTAACTAATCACAAGTGTTTGGATCAATTGGCAAGAATTATTCTAATTTAACCATAGATCTTGAGTTCAAACCCTCAAAATGCAGCAACATAAGTAACCAGGAATGTCTACTTTTATGGTGCTTGTCATTCCTTGATATAAATTAGTTTGGTTCTTGTTAAGTCTTTATAGCTTGAGTGAAGTAGACTCAAGATACGCCAAAAGAAAAAAAGTTAAGATGTTAACTAAAATGCATGTTTAGGAGGATTTGTCTTATAGCTGGGATGGGAAGGGATGCTTGACAAAAACGAGTGCGTATTCCCCATATGAAGAAGTGACATTTTTTTTAACATACACATGGCACGTCTTCTATATTTATTGGCTAATTCTTCTCTCTAAATGCCACAATATATCACCTAAAATTAAATGACTCATACACATTAAAATGCTACCAAACACAAATAAGAATGGCTCTCTCGATGTAAATTCCCCCCAATTCATGAGATTTAAACCCATAACTTTGTTTCAGAAGTATTTAGTCCCATCCACTCAATCCAATCATATTTGTGCTAATTGAGACGTAGAGAGAGAGAGAGAGGGGGGGGGGGAGTGCCTTTGGTAGATCATGGAAAATAACCACTTGATATACTGAGGCAACTTTTTATCACATAAAATGTCAAGGATGCTCTAATCATCATTGCTCAATAATTATTTGTTTTTATCACTTTATTATCTAGGGATGATGCAAGAGTTATTTCCAATGATATTCCCTTTTCTTTTTTTGTTTTTCAGCCAAAAGATTTTGCGTATCAAACATAATATAAACGAAATTTCAGGGCCAACATACAGTTGGCTTGAAATGAGTAGTCCACAATAAGAGATCACGAAGAAGTTACCTCACAATGATGAATGGCTCATGGAAAATTTATATTTCCTTCTTTTTTTCCCTTCAACTTGCAGAAGGACGTTTTTGACCTCACAAATTAGGTTATATTACAACCCCAATATCTGTCTACTAAACAGACAAAAAGTGAAACACTAGAAAGGTCTGAATGGACACGCGTCAATTTCATTCATCATAGCCGTACAGAGGAGGCATTGAGGAGTCCAGCAATCCACATTTTTTTAGAAGGGTTCATAGTATATGGACTCTCTCATCCAATCAACATAGGACTTGTGGCACTCAACTTCACCTGATCACCCCAATCAGACAACATAATCACTTTATCGTCATGGTTTCCCAAGCAATATCTTAACTAAGCTTTCTTTCCTATTCAAAAGTGTTCATAATTCAAAAATAACATTAGAATTAGCAGTTCTTAACCGTGAGATATTTAATTATTTATCAACACTTACATGACATGTTTTGAAACACAGACCAGTGGACCTCACGGAATAACATTATAATCTTAATATTGTTAGGAGTAGATAAAAATGCCTGAGCTAAGGAACAAAAATAGCATCATAAAACTCTCAAAAGCATGAGACTTTGACGGTGTCATTGTTCAAAAGCATATTGTATTGGTAGTTTGTATTGCATCCAACCATTCATGCCTCCATTCCTAGCAGTCACAGTAAGGGATCTACCAATATAGGATTAACAAAATAATTTTCAAGGACCAAAAAAGCAAAATTACAAAAAGAATGTTGCTTTACAGATGAAGAGAATGACAAAGCTAATCTACAATTTGAAAGCTTTCTTTCGGTTATTTTGTAGGATAAGGTGTAAAAAACCAGGCTAATCATGAAGTGTCGTACGGAAATTTTGGTTCATCCTGAGGCAATTTTCTGTAGTTCTTCCCACGTGGCTAGTTTTTCCCTTGGTTTGTTTATTGTACTTCCACGCCTCTTTTCTTCAGAGTCGATCTTCTCCCAATCACTGAAAGAAACTGTTCTCACATTTCTCTCAAGTAGAAGCTGGCGAAGACCCTCTCTGCCTTGTTTTGGCAAGTTCGATGATGATACCAAAACTCCTTTGTCAAGGTCATCCGATATACTTGAAACCTGTCATGTTAATTGTCAGCCAAAATACTAAAATACAAACTACACGCATCCATATTCCATAGGAAAGAAAACAACATGCTTCGGACGTATCATGCCTTTCCAGTTCCCCTTTGCAAGGAAGCATTTTGGGTCCAATAGCTCATGTTACAAGCACCCATACTTTAAAAAAGTAAACATATCTGATAAGACACTCATACGATACTTCAAAATACATATTGCATATTCTAACATTTGTGTTATGTTATTTTCAATAAATTAAAAAGAACTTAATATTTTGGTTTATTGTTACAAATATTCTAATATTACTTTAGAAATACTTGTTAAAAATCAAGAAATATATACCTATATCATAAAATGTTGAAATATACATTATATATATTTATATATATTCCCATACCCCTATCATAAAATTTTGAAAATTGCTGTATCCACCATACCATGCTGTATTGTATCTGAAACACGTACCTGTATCAGTGCTTCTTAGGTTACAATATAACTTTGGCATACATGTATCATATGATTATATTTCTAGTCCTTTTAACATCAGGTAATGGAAAATAGGTAACAATCTAACTACTTGGAATCCCAATCACCCACAGTATTTCAGGCTCAAATCTTGAACACTTCTTAAGCAAAATAGTAAAGTTCAGCTGTGTGCAAACTCCAGAGGAACTGAAAAGCTATAGTATGGAAGGTTTTGCTATCATTTATACTGCTGAGTTACAAGCTTCCTAAAAACAGCAAGAATATAGAATCAAGCTTACAGTTTCATCAGCACAATATAGGTTTGTGCCAATAATTCCAGTTGGTCCTCTCTTCAGCCAACCACAAACATACAAGCCCTCCTCAAGTAATGTAGGATCCCCTGAAGCATCACTCAGCACTCGACCTTTATTATTTGGAACTATACCTGAAAATTAGAAACCACATATTGATAGGAGAAAGGAGAATGGAAATAGAAAGAATATGAAAATAAAAAGGGGACTTGGAATGTCAGAACCTCATCATTGATCCGCACAAATCCTCTCAAGTCAGATTATAAGTTATATATGCTGGCTAGTTAATATTCCAACTAATCCAACCATCATAACAGAACATAACAATAACCACTAAGGGCTATAACAATTTACAACCTACTTCTAACACTCATAACACCAACAAAGTAAGAGATAGGGAAAGCATATATGCCTAAGGAAAAAGGAAGGGGCTATACATTATTGAAAGGCTTGATGATAGCGTAAATAACACTCTCCCCTCAGAGTCTGTTTATATTAATACTATAACTGAGACAAGGAAAGCATATATGCCTAAGGGAAAAGGAAGGGGCTATACATTAAAGGCTTGATGATAGCATAAATAACGCTCTCCCCTTAGTCTGTTTATATTAATCCTCTGACTGCAAAAGACACTTGCACCATACCTTGGGTACCCTAAAGGCCTAATGTCTACAAGTAACCCTTTTCATAATTTCCTAAAAATTCCAAACATATACAAGTACATATATTTTCTTGCAGTGACTGAAGATGCCAAAGCTGCAGTATCTATGATTTTTTGCAATGAATCAAAAACCAAACCAGGCATTAAACTAGTCAAGATATTAGTTCCAAGGTTTAATGATCAAACTGTAGTTAAACTTATGATTAAACTAAAATAATTCAAGTAATACAGATTAAAATATTAATAATAAAAAAAGGTAAGAATATTATATTTAATTTCATTACCCTATCAAAAATTTTCAATTATCTAATATGTGAATTCATGCAACCTCTTGGTAGAAGACTTGTTTTGATAGTTAATATGCATGCGGGTGACCATATAAGGGCATTTTCTTTTTTCTTCCCCTCTGTGTATAAGGGACTTCAGGTGGGGAAAAAAAAGGTGTAATGAGAAAATATTTTAACTGTTACGATTTTGGTGCTTGAGATAAGCTCTTGGGTAACCAACCGACAATGGTGAAGGCAAACCATAGTGATGAGGGGATATATACATATAAAACCATTGCTAGGTAGGGCAAATAAGGAAGAAGAGGTGTTTGATCTACCTCAGTCATGAACGAGGCAAGCTAGAGTCATGGAGGAAACTTGAACAGGATATCCCAGTGCAGAAATGGTAGCCATGGATACAATAGTTTAGATATTTTGTTTCCATGATAGTATAGATATTTCTTTTGGATAGGTTTTTTTGAAAGATTTAGGCTGTTTGTTTGTGGTCTTAATATAATTCAATTGATATTGGAATAAAAAAATAATAATAGAGGAGGAGAGGGAATGGCCTAAGGGGTAATAGAAATGTGGAAGTCCAATACTAATAGAATGAGAGAAGAAATAAGAGAAGTGCAGCCGCATAACGACAAGGGGGGAGGGTCTCAAAGGATATGGTGAGTGGGTTGGGTTAAAGCCTTGATGAATGAGTAAAATATTTTGGGCTCATGAGGCCGGACTGGTTAAAACTTTTAAACTGGGTTTCTTGAAATCTAGTTGGTTTTCACTTGGTTTAAGGGTTATTCTGGTCTTAGACTAGTTTTCTGGGAGACCAATCTTGTTCCTCTTCCAAACTAGTAAAAAGATCAGTTCACTAGTGTTCTAGTTAATCAGATCAAACCAGTTGAAATTTTAGTATAGTGGATTTTTGCCATTAAGGAGTAAGAGCTAGACCATCTAAGCATCACTGTACAGTCTTTCAGACAACTTCTAATCAACTAACATGTATAGATATAGACCACAGTAGATCAGATGATAACATTGTACGAAAGTCAGCGCAGACAACTTTAAGAAAAATAAATTTGATTGGTAAAATGGTATAAATTTTGTCACTGATTTTTCCTTTTAATTCTGCAGATAATACCGTAGAATGTTTTTGGGAAGAAAAAATGAGGGTCCATTTCCAAATTTGTTATCAATCTCCAAATATAATTTCCCTAAAAACACGTTTTGGAAGAAACGTGAGACAATCCAGAGTAAAATATAAAATAGGAAATTAACACAAAAAGTATGAAATGCAAATATTTGTTCACACCTTTCTGATTATCAAAAGGTAAGCCATCAACTGGTATTGACATGTAACCAATGCTCTTAAGTACCAACCTACAAAAAACCAGTATAGTACAATGGACTCAGCATTTAATCTCAACATTTTGTAAAATCACAATAGAAATAAATATCCTTCCAGGGAGGCTTGCAATCATTCATTTATAGTTTATACGATTTCTTTATCTAGTTGCTCTTAGGAAGATATGAATTAATATACCTTTGGAACTTCTAATTTCAAAAGCAGTGATCAATAATAGTTTTCATGCTAAGTTCTGGCAATAATTTTTATACACAAGGACTGATTGTAATTTTACATGGTTTTTCCCGGATAAAGAACAATACCCGCATTTTGTATCTTCAAATTGTCCAGTACCAACAGCAGCCTGTTTCCCTGGGCCAACCCCTGCAAAATGCAGTTGACAAATTAACAGTAATTCTTAGCACAAGAAAATATCATCATGGATTCATGTTCATTAGTCTTTACCAAATGTCCAAATCTTCAAGAATAGTTGATATTTTACCAGATTGAGAAATTACAGGAGTGTATTAATCCACCATTTGTTTAACAAGATCCATTTTTTAATGGTAAAAGAAATTATGCTGAATTATCTTTGCTAATCATATAACAGTACATTGATGCAGTGCTAATGATAACAAGTTACAACATAGATATGAACAATATAAAAACACCTTGAAGAACTGTCTTCTCAAAGCGCACACTTGAAACATAGCCAATTCTATCTTTTGACTCCTGAAAGCTATCTGGTTTGCGGAAAAAGACAAAATGGAGCTCACGTTGATTCAGACCAGCATATGCAGGCCTTGAAGTGGCTGCCTTAGATAGCAATTCATAAACTCTTCTCTGTATTCGGCTACATTTCAATTCTTCCTTTTCAAAATGATAGCATCAAGCAAAGATAACACCAATGAAAAGAAATTCAGGTAAAAAGAATAGGGGGGGGGGGAAGGAAATCCATTTGAAGAAAATTACCACCAATTAGAAAGGAGAAACTATTTATGGATTTCTCATATTGCAAATATGGAAGAGATGCAGCACCATAGAATTCTTAAAAATAAAAATAATGATAATGATAAATAGAATATGGGTGTGCATGTAGTTATAGATTGTACATGTATCAAATATAAGCAATGCCACCATCATAAATTAGGAATCAACTTGGAAGCATCCAATACCTCATCTACCGGAGTTAGAAGCAGATCAGTTTCCTGAATTTTAATATCAAGATTATGAATACCTGTAAAAAGATGCCAAAGCTTCCATTAGTTTCATGTATTGAAGAGACTGGAATGGTCTAAAACCTATAGCTCACGACCTACAAAGCACAGTTGTTTGAAGATTGTACCCATATTACTGAGTAAGATGCCAGTGCACATAATTCTTTTATGCTCTTAGTGCATGTTGAGCTTCACATGATTTTAGTAGTTTCCAATGTAAAGAAAAAAACACGTACTTAGGCACTCCAAAGTAAGTATCATCTATTATTTCTCTCCCCTTTTTCCAAGTTTAGTTTGGACTTTTGATATATCCTTGAGAGATCATTGGAATGTCACTAAAAACCTTACGTCTCAATCTTCTAAATCTACAACAACAACAACAACAACAACAACAACAAGCCTTTATCCCATTAGGTGGGGTCGGCTACATGGATTGCAAGACGCCATTGTGCTCTATCATTTATCAAGCTTTTAGGAATATTATTAATTAAGAGATCGCGTTCAACAACTTCCAAGAGTGTTCTCTTAGGCCTTCCTCTACCTCTCTTAATCGGACTCAAAGTTATATGTTCCACTCTTCTCGCTGGTGCCTCCCTTGGTCTTCTTTGTATATGCCCAAACTATCTCAACCGATTTTCTACCATTTTTTCCTCAATAGGTGCCACCCTCACTTTTTCGCGTACGTGCTCATTTCGAATTTTATCTTTACGTGTATGTCCGCACATCCAACGTAACATTCTCATCTCTGTTACTCCAACTTTATGCTCTTGCTGTCCCATTAGAGCCTAGCATTCACTACTATATAACATTGCCGGTCTGATAGCAGTGCGATAAAACTTTCCTTTAAGTTTATTAGGCACCTTACGATCGCAAATAACTCCTTTAGCTTTTCTCCAATTAAACCACCCAACTTGAATTCTATGTGAAATATCTCCACTGATTTCTCCATCATTTTGAATAATGGCTCCCAAATATCTAAACTTTTTCACTTGAGGTATAATTTGATCTCCTAATTTCACTTCTAAATTATTGTTGAATAGTCCTTTATCAAATTTACAATATAAATATTCCGTCTTACTTCTACTCAAACGAAAACCTTTCGACTCCAATGTCCTCCTCCATAACTCAAGTTTGCAATTAACCTCTTCTCTTGTCTCTACTATAAGAACTATATCATCCGCGAAGAGCATACATTTCGGAATTTCCCCTTGAATATGTTCCGTCAAAACATTTAAGATCAAGTTGAATAAATAAGAACTCAGAGATGATCCCTGATGTAATCCAATCTTTATAGGAAAATCCTTTGTTTGACCACTAGGCATTCTTATACTAGTTTTTACCCCCTAATACATATCTTGTATGGCTTTAATATAAGCAATCCGTACTCCTTTTTTTTTCCAATGCTTTCCAAAGCACTTCTCTTGGTATATGGTCATAAGCTTTTTCCAAATCAATAAAAACCATGTGTAGATCTTTATCTTTACAACGATACTTTTCCATTAATCTCCTTAGTAGATAAATCGCCTCTGTAGTTGATCTACCTGGCATAAAACCAAACTGATTCTCAGAAATACTTGTCTCTAATCTCAACCTGTGCTCAATTACTTTCTCCCACAATTTCATTGTGTGGCTCATGAGTTTAATCCCTCTATAGTTAGTACAATTCTGAATATCTCCTTTATTTTTATAAATAGGAATTAATATACTTTTCCTCCACTCATCAGGCAATCTTCTAAATCTACTTTAAAAAAAAAATTTGGGCCTGAATCTTCTAAATCTAAAAATAAATGTTACTTTTAATAGTCATTTAAACTTTGGGATTCATATGTCAAAACTGAAATAGAATTCCTTGCAGTACTGCATGGGTTGTCTGCAGGTGGGCAGGCATGAGAGAGAGAGAGAGAGAGAGAGAGAGAGAGAGAGAGAGAGAGAGAGAGAGAGACCTGGCATAATAAAATAGATGCTGTTCAGAGAAAAATTGGATAACTATTTGATTGATTAAATAAATCTATCTTTTTTTTTTGGTAAATATATCATATACAATTTAACAAAATAGTCATACGCATCCCCATGCAAGTTCATGCCAAATAAAAACCAATACTAAAATAGCATTAGTCATCATTTGGATTAAAAACCAATGGCAAGGCCAAGAAACAGGACCATGATTTCCATTTTCAGTTTAACCCCAAATCTCTAAGGTCTGGAATGTTTCAAAAATAAAAACCGAGTTATGATAAATAAAAAATCAAATGAAAAGCAAGAGGCAGTGATGTTGGAAAGGAAACTACTGAAACTAGTAGCGAGTGAGGCCACAGAGATCAAATGGGAATTGGAGGATTGACTAACAAGGTTATCACTAAGCAGCAGGTCAATTGAGGAGCAATAGTTTACAAAGGAAACTTTTAAGTCTGACTATAATAGCATTATGTGGTAAATTACAAGATTAAAATGTTCCCCCCATGGAAAGAGTTCTATGGAACAACAAACATGCATAAGAGAAATGAACATTTCATCTGAACTTGGCATATATAAAAGAAGATGCAGAAGTTACCAAGAATTTCACGTAGCTCTTTAGCAGTACAAGCTGCTTGGGCAGGACCACGTCTTCCAACCAAATAAACCTTCCTGCAATAATCCTCATATTACACATATACATCACACAATAGAAACAAGATTATCAGGAAGCTTCAGATTATGTAATTACAAACCTGATTGAACTCTCCTTCAGAGCAGCAAAAGCATGACCAGAAATATCAGTAGTTGCCAACTCATTTATAGGCCTTAAAAGGATACGTGCAACATCAAGAGCAACATTTCCCTGAAATTAAGGAGATCATTTACCTACAAAGCCTCAACAACCCTTAAGCCTTATGATGAGACTGTGTAATGGAGAGTGGGAAAAGAATTAATTTAAAATTGTAAATTAAGGCTTATATTTTCATTTTGTCAATCATCTTTTTATTTTTGGATTTATTTATCTTATCGTAGTTAGCTCTTGAGGACCTTATTAATTAGGATGAGGGTTGCCTTCTGATTGATTAATAATAAAATTCTGTTGGCTTAGTGATAGTCATTAATTCCCCTCTATTTCCTCTACATCTCCCTCCTTCCCCTTCTTATCTCCCTCCCTTTCCCTTTCTCTCTATTCTTTGCTTCTGGTTCTACATCACTACCTGACCAAGAATTACAGCTGTATCCGTGCTTTTCAAGTCTGGGTCAAGATTTCTCGCATCTGGGTGCCCATTATACCACCAAACAAATTCTCTGGCAGAGTGTATCCCCATCAAATTCTGAGAAGAAAATAAGCAAGTATAAGGAATATTGTCAAAAGTAACTCAAGGTTTAGCTAAGGCATAAATATGACTTGACAAATAAGCATCATGCCATCACTTATAGCTAAAAAGAGAATCCTAGTGAAAACACAAAAATTCTACCAGAGCATTACTATATATAGAGAACTTCCAACAAAAAGTAAATAAACAGTTGAAGCATACTTCTCCAGGAATTCCAAGGCTTCTATCACTTTCAGCACCATATGCGAGCACAACCTGTTCAGATGCATAAAATGAAGACTGATAAGAAGGTACAGCCAATAAATAAGTACCAAAAAAGATCGTCACCATATATAGAACACATCTAGAACTAGAATCTCACCACATGATACAGCTCACGTAATTCAGATAGAGAAATGCTAGATCCAAGAGCTACATTTCCAAACAATGAGCATCTTTCATGCTGCGCTACCCTTGAAAACTGGTTGATGACAATCTGTTGCAAGTTTTCTGGTAAACTAAACTCAATTGAGAGAGTTCTTTACACCAAAGAAAAAGATTACCAGGAATAAAAACGGGAGAAAATGAAGCATTCCATTTTTTCTCAACAGACACAGCCTTTAGCTATTTGTGGAGAATCAATAGCCCAACATCATCCATATAAACATCCAAAAGGCTGTCGGGCAACAGATACTATTGAACTTCAGATATTATCAATTTTCAAAGGAATGTTGCAGATATTGACCTTTGTTTCTGGGTGATCAGGTGCAACACCGGAGCGGACTAACCCAAAAGGTGTCGGCAGCCTATCAATGATGTCAACTTGTGCTTCTTGGTGCTCCTTCAACATCTAGAGAAGCAATTTAACATGCCAACAATTCACAAATTTTAGGAGAAGAAAATTAAAATGTTGATACTCGACAGTTCTTCTCAACGCATACTTAGATAAAGCGCTAACCTTCTCAGCAGTGTAAAAACCAGCAGGACCACTCCCAACAACACAAACACGCAAGGGGTTAGAAGAAAGAGTAGCGAAGCTTCTGGAAAGCCCTGTTCTTGCTTGGAAGATTGCCATTTTCTCAACGTAATGTCTGCAATAAAGATATTAAGAATTAAAGATGATTTAAAAACAGAGAACTAATAAAAAAGAATGCAGCAAGAGTCTCAAGTTGTTTCTTTGTGTTCAACGGGTTTCAAGCTTCAAGTTCTTTGTGTACAAGGGCACGACGGGGAAACCTGAAGGCGCTGGTGCACAGGACGACGGCGACGGCGAGTCTGGTGGCGATGGCGAGGTTGTTGGAGACAAAGCCCCAGACAAAGGTTCATGCTAGGCCCGACAAGGTCAAGCCCAATACTGCTGACTCACTGACATTTTGCTGCGAAGGCAGAATCTCAGCTATTATTTATTTATAGTTTTCTTTCTCCCTCCCTATGTTTTTTTTGGAGTAGGCTTCTCCCCTCCCCAGTCTCCTCTTTGAGACCAAAAACGGTTTAAATTTAATAATTTTATTTAATATTTTAATTTATATTTTTAAAATAAAAATATATAAAAATTGTAAATTTTTAATAAATATACTTACCAATCTAATATTCCATATTTAATATAAATATTTTAAATTTAATATTAATTTTTTTAATAAATTTATTGATCTATTCAGAATATATTTATATTATTCAGAATATATTTGAAAAGTTAACTTAAATTTTTTACATTAAATTTAGAGCATCTATATTAAATTTGAACTATCAGATTAAAAAGTATATTTATTAAAAAATTTTAAAAATTTTATATATTTTTTATTTTAAAAAATATAAATTAAAAATATTAAATAAAATAAATCTAGATTGTCTAGATTAAATCTGAACGATTCAAATTTGTCTCTTTCTCAAAAAAGAGGCAGAGGAGTTTTTTTTTAAAGGAGAGAAGTGGAGAGAAGCCAACTCTATTTTTTTCCCTCTTTAAACCAAACTTTCCTTCATAGAACAAATATTCTACTAACTTTTCTTTGCACTCTTCCCATGTCCTGAGGCCTCTAATGGGAGGCTAACTTTATTTTACTGTGCTCCTTTATTTTCTTTAATTAAAAGTTTTATTTCAAAAAAACATTATCCATTTATACTTAGCTTGGTAAGAAAGAAGAGTGAGAGAGGTGAAAATTACATTTTCCCAACTTGGTTAAAGAAAAGAAAATGAAATGAATAGAAAATTGAACATATTTTTTCTCTCTAACTTTATTTTTGGAAAGATTTTAAAAAGAAAATTCTATTATTAAATTTGCCCATGAATTTTTTTTTCCTTCTCCTACCTCCCTCCATTTTCATTCCCTCCATTTTCATTTTTATATTTGATGGCATTTTAAAATTTTTAGTTATTGTATATTTAATAATTTTATAAATAAAATTTAAAATAAATAAATAATTTTTTATTTATATTTTTATTCCATTACTAATGTATAATGAAAATTATATAAATAATATATTAAAATTTTAAATTTTATTATATATATTTTTCAACAAGTACTAAGGTCATTATTGTGTGTGTGCGTGCGCAACAAGTACTAAGGTCATTATTGTGTGTGTGTGTGTGTGAAATTAACAACTTTTCTCTTTCCATGTTTTTTATTGGTTAGCTAAAGCATAAGGAGGGAATCATATCTCATCACTTTTCACTTCTCTTTATTTTCCCTCATCTCATTTTCTTTTCTCATTTTTTCTTGTCAGCTTTGCCTTACCCTCTATTTGGTTAGAGGGGAGGGGAGGAAAAATAAAGCTATTTCCACATATTATATCTAGTTAAAGTGATTTAAGCATCTATAAACTTATTTCACAACTTCACTAATGATACAAGTTTCATTTCAATATGATATTTCATTTAAAAATTAGACACTTGAGTGCCTAATGGCTAATTTTATGTCATTTCCTAGCACATGAGTGTAACATCCTAAATTTTTCAATTAGTAATTATCAATGTTTTCAAGGATAAATTGGTTAATTTAGATAAATTATTGATTAATGAGGTTTATAGGAGACTAATATAATTTTTGGATTCTTGGACAACCTTAGAAAAGAGTTGGGTTGATGTTTGAGTGGGTCATGGCACGGAAGGAAGTTTAAATTTTGGTAGGACTTTCTGTGCCATGCGCTGCGGCGGGCATGTCAATGCACCACTAAGAGTGGAAATAGAAGAAAGAAAGAGAGATAATGAGTGAGTGACAAAGAAGAGCTTTTGTTTAGCTAGGACACGATCCTTAGGCCACGTTGGAAGCATTTGGAATTTGAATTACCATTGAGTAAGTTTCACATTCCCTCTCCTTCTACATTTATGCAAACTTTCTAACTTAAGTGGTAGTGTGGGGCTTAATCTCGTTTTCCTTAGGTTTAGACCGAATCCATTGGTTTATTTAAGGTTTTGGGAAGTTAAATCAAGCTTCTAACCCTAGGTTTATGAGTTTTATGGTGATTGAAAATTTTATTGAGGGTTTGGACGAACCTTAAGTATAATTTGAAGATTTTGAGACAATGTGAAGAATTGAATGATGAATTTGGTGTGTTGAGATGTTTAATAGGATGGTTAGAGTATTTTGAAATGATCAGTGTGGTTAGATAAAGAAATTGAGTGTTATAGGCACTTAGAACCTTGAAAATTTGGGGTTTATCTGGAGTAATAATTGACGATTGTTATTTGATTGTATAGATTGAGTGTTGCTCGAACTACCTCGTGTATGTAGAACACATGGAGCTAACATTAAGCCACGGTAACCCTTTTGTATGATAAAGGGTTAAGGTAACGAAATAATTTACACTATTTGATTATATTGCTTAACTGTTTGTGAGTAGATATGTTGATTTGAACTTGATATTTGATAACCTTGCATATTGCGAAATGTGATTTTTTGTACATGTTAAATGAATTGCAATAATTGACATGATGAAAGTTTTATATGGATTGGTTGAAAAATGTGAAATGTATATGTGTTACATATGATGAGTGTGAGTATGATCATGTTAAGGGGATAGGAGTTCACCCATAGGAAAGAGTAATGAAAGTCCATATGGCATACATCTCTTTAGAGTCTAGTGAGGTACGGTGTTAGAGATTTTCTCCTTAGTATCCATACGGGATATGGCGTTGGAGAATGACGCTTCTCAGCATCAGTGATGCGGTGTTGGAGTAGCGACACCTCGATTCGTGTGTGATAGGGGGAGACTATAGTGCCGAAGTGGGATAGAAAAACCTTTGACTGGGTGATCCTACCACTGAAGGTGAGCTCAGACCATTATGAATGTGTACTTAGTCTAAGAGCCTATGGTTTTAGTCAAGGTGATATGAAGGCTCAAATGGTAGAATGATCATACTAGTGGTAAATGACTTGTGTTTATAAAAAGGAATTGTTGAATATGCTACAGTGGAAATAAGAAAGACTATATTGAACTATGTTAAAAGTATATTATGGTATTTAAAAGATTTACTCCCTTATGGTTGTGCATGTTAATTAATAGTAGTGAATTATTCTGTTACTGAGATATTTATCTCACCCCATAGTTATATTTTACAGGTAAGGGCTCTGGTAGGGGCAAGGGAAAGGAAGGAGCATCTGAAGAGTGAAAAGCATAGTTGTATAGCTTTTTCCTTTCCTCTTTTTGGGTATTGTAATGAATATTGTTATTACATCATGCCAACTTATGAACATGACATTATTTGGTTATCACTTATATGAATTTATAATAAGTGTGCGTATTTTGGTCTAAGGTTGATGTTGTGGATTAAGTGTGTGTGCTGGCTAAGTTACAATTACAAGTGATATATTTGAAGTAATTTATGTACCAAAATAACCAAATTGAGATGTGTGTTAAATTTAATCCACCTTTTGTGTTATTGTCAAATAGGGGTTTGGTGGTTATTTTGAGTGTGATTGCTTATTTGTGATATAGGAATGAATTGTCATGTTGTGTGTGGTTCATTTGAGTTGTTCAAAGTGTCTCTGGGGCTAATGGCGTTTGGCATTGTGAGTTAGATACTTTTGAATGTGTTTTAAAGTGAAAACAAACCATTTTGGATTTGGGTGTCTATCTTCTTAATGGATGATTTTTTTAAATGTGAGACCGGTGCCATTAGATAGAGGACTGAAGAGCTTCGTGTGAATACTTGAACCACTCAAATCGGACGTTGGATGGCGAAATGCTGAGCTCCAAAAGTTTGAAGAGTTGTCATGACAGTAGGTGTGCACCGTGGTGCATGGTAGTTGCACCACAGTGCAAGTGGCCTTCAAAGGACTCGTCTCTCTATACCATTCGCCATGGTAGGCGGGCCAGAATTTGGAGAATTTTTAGATTTGTTTTAGCATGTTTCAATTGTTGTTTTGATTTCCATGCTTCTGTTACTATATTTAATTAATTTTGAACTATGGTTTGAGCTCAAACAATATTTTTAAAAATGGTTTCTTGGATTCCATTATTTTAACTAATTATCTTTTAAATCCTTAGATTGTGATAACTTTTTTTTAGGATTTTATCTAATCCTGGTTATCACAACGGTGTGTAAGAGTGTTGTCTTGGTAATGTCAAGGTAGACATTACAATGATTTATGCCACACGTCGTAGCATAGAGTGCATCTGCCACAGAGCACAGACACTTTAGATGTGGAATGGGGACTTTTTTATGCCATAGGCCACGACGCATGGTCATTTTCTGCATTTATTAGTCATGAAATTGAGATAAAAATAGAGAAGAGAGAAAGGAGAAATCAAAGAGGCGTGCCAAGCTCTGCTAGGGTTTGTTCTTAGACGACATTGGGAGTGTTTTGGAAGCTACAAACACCCAAGGTAAGTATCATACCTCTTGATCTCCCATTTTCTTCCACATTATGAAGTTATGGCTAGGGTTTGATAGTGGAAGATAATTTTTGATTTATATAAGTTATGGGTTCAAATCTATTGACTCAAATGGAGTTAATTGGAGTAGATTAAAGTATCTAAACCTAAGTATAATGAATTTTGGTGTCTTGGGTGGTTAGGCTTCACAAATATGCAAAAAATTTTATTAATGTGGGTTGTTGGAAGAGTGTGATGCCATTAATGGGAGTTTAATGGCTTATTAATGTTAATAGGGACTAAAGATAATTAATAATCCCAATGGATAGGCTCAAACTCATGTAAATTAGGCATTGAGCAATTTAGAAGTAGAGAAATGAGAGTTGAATGCTTGAGTTTGGCAATATTAATGGAGATTAACTTGGTAAATTGTATATTGAGCTCTTGGACACCTAATTGGCTTGAAAATTCAAGTTTGAAAGTTATTATATTGAGGAGTAAACTTTTTACTTCTCAAAGGTTTGAGGTAATCAAGGGAACATTGCTTTGTATAGTTATATATTAAT